GGGCGGGCGGGCGGGCTGGCAGGCAGCAGCACCGCCCCCAGCCCCTCCCCTCTCCTCGGCCGCCTGAGACTTCACCGCCCATTGGCTCAGGTTACTGCCGCTCACACGCGGGCTCTCCCTCGCTCCCTCGCTCATTGGCCTCAGGACAAAGGCACGCCGCTGCGATTGGTCCTGCGCCCCGCTATTTCCGTTTGGGAGGAGGCGTTGCCCAAGAGACGGGCGGAGTTCGATTACGTACGGTGGGACCGCCCCCTCCGCGCGGCCGGGTCCGGCAGTGATTGGATCAGGACGCTCTCCCGTAAGCGAGGGATTGACGTGAAGGAAGGCGGGGGAGCGGGCTCGAGGAGGTGAGACTTGCGTCGGCTGAGGCCAATGGGCGAGGAGATCGCCCCCGCAGGCATCGCGGATTCGCCGTGTCCGTCCTAGTCCCGCCCTCGAGTGGGCGGTTATATGGGCGGGAGGAGGGCGATGAAAGGTGGCTAAGGGAGGGTGTCACTCGGCTGGGCTGGGATAGGTGGAGCGCCGCCTGCAATTCCCTGCTGCAGAGAAGGATGTGGGAGGGACGAGAAAGCGTGAGGTGTTTACTGCGCAAGCGTCTGTCTGTTCCCATTTCTCCCTAATCTCCTCCACCCACGACTCCTTCAATCTTCTTCCAAGAAGAGGTCCCTATCCCCGCCTCCTCCCCTGTCTGGCGGCCGAGAAGTCCCGACCTAACTTAGGGTTCCCAGGGCCGAGGAAACAGCCATTCATATCCAGTGTTTCTCAACCTTCTGGCCCTTTAAAACAGTTCCTCATGTTTTTACCCCCAACCATAAAATTATTTTCGTTGCTACTTCATCACTGTAATGTTGCTACTGTTATGAATCGCCATGTAAATATCTGAGATGCAGGATGGTCTTAGGCGACCCCTGTGAAAGGGTCGTTCCACCGCCAAAGGGGTCGCGACCCACAGGTTGAGAACCGCTGCATTAAGCAGAGGCGAAAACTAAGGTCCAGAAAGGTTAACTGTCTTGCCCAAGGTCACACAGCCAGGAAGGGTCAGCCAGATTTACAGTATATTTTGGCTTTTCATCACTTTTCAATATACAATGCCTTCTTTTTTTTCTTTTTCTTTCTTTTTTTTTTTTTGCAAATCATAACGCCATTATACAGATAGCAAGTCAAAATTGTGAGTCTCCTCCTCCTCCAGCCTTGGAGCTCCTCAGCACGAATGGGACTGAGCCCTAACCGGTTTGGCTCAGTGGATAGAGCGTCAGCCTGTGGACTGAAGGGCCCCAGGTTCGATTCCGGTCAAGGGCATGTACCTTGGTTGCGGGCACATCCCCAGTGGGGAGTGTGCAGGAGGCAGCTGATCGATGTCTCTCTCTCATCGATGTTTCTAACTCTCTATCCCTCTCCCTTCCTCTCTGTAAAAAATTAATAAAAATATATTTGAGAAAAAAGAATGGGACCTGGTACTGAACAACGTTGGTTAAAAGGAAGTAATAGGGGGATCCGTTGTGTTGGGTCCCGGGGACCCCCTTTGGGGAAGGCAAGGCCTCCGGAACGGGACCGCCCCGGGGCCATTGAGAAATTTGGGGCAAAGGGTACGGGAAGAGTCCACGTCTGTCGCCACAGGATGTAAACCCCACCCACCATCCTTTTCTAATCTCCGAAGCCTGGTATTCTTGGAATGAGCCTTTGGGGGAGTGTCCTCGTTCCTGGGAACTTCCCATTATGGGTTCTAGGAAGACAGACATGGCTCAGCTGCTTTAGTAACCAAGAGAGACCGTTCCTAACAATGGTTGGAGGGAGACCCGCACCATTAAAAACAGTAACTACAACAAGAGTTATTAGGACCTCGAGTTGGAAAGAGTCCTTATTTTTATTTTTTTAATCCTCACTGGAAGATATTTTCCCCATTGATCTTTAGAGAGAGAGCGGAAGGGAGGGAGGAAAACACCGAGAGAGACATTGAACTCGGGGCCAGGGATCGAACCCGAAACCCAGGTGTGACCCTTCAGTCTGCGGGGCCCACTCTCTAACCACTGAGCTAACCAGCCAGGGTGGAAAGAGAGTCCTTTTTATGAAAGATACAGTAAGCATCTCAAGGACGGGAGGAGTCCATTCCTGACACGGAAGAAAGCACTTTCTCCCTGAGGACAGCACCATTTTTTTAAAAAAAATTATTAGTAGTGGAGTTTGAGTTGTTCGCTTTATGAGGGACGTGAAGGGAGGCATCCAGATCCCAAGAACAGGAAAGGGGGGGAGCCACCCCTTCCCCAGCTCCACTCTCCACCTGCCTCTCACCCACCTCTTCCCACCCTTTGCCCAGAGCCTCTGGGGTTCGGGGGTGGGTTGATGGGTCGATGGGTCGATGGGGAAACTCCGTCCTCTCTCAACCCCCTCCAGGGCCCATGAAGTAGCCAAATTTAATTTGTAAGACAGGGCCTAAGGCAAAGGCATTCTGAGGTCTAACCGGGAACCAGATTAAGGAGGACTTCACCTGGAAGACCTGGGACAGTGTGACCCTGTGTGGGGGCGGACATGGCGCCACCGACAGGAGCTGGTGGGTGGACTTTACCCCAGTTGGATTCGAGCGGCGCCTGCTAATAGAAATACAGTGGGATGAAGGACTTGTATGCATGCATATAAGCCTAACCAATGGACATAAGACACTGGGGGGTAGGGGAGGCCAGGGGATTGTCAAGGGGGGCGAGGAAAAAGGAGACATATGTAATACTCTTTGTAATACTTTAAGCAATAAAACAATTTAATTTAAAAAATTAAACAAAAAAAAATATTTTTTATATTTTTATTGATTTCAGTCAATTTCCAATTGATTCCAGCAACATTTTTAAAGAAGGTGAAGTCCTGGCCAGTGTGGCTCAGTGGGTTGAGCGTCGCCCCATGCACCGGAAGGTCCCTGGTTGGATCCCAGGGAGGTCCCATGCCCTGGTCACCTGTTCGATCCCCAGTAGGGAGCATGCAGCAGGCAGCCCATCAGTGTGTATTACATGGATGTTTCTCTCTCTCTGTCCCTTCCTCTCTCTGAAAAAAATCAATAAAAACATATTTAAAAACATATGTTTCAGCCAGGCTAAAAACATATTTTTCTAAAGTAAAAGCAAAGGTGAGCCCTGGCCCGTGTGGCTCAATTGGCTGAGAAACGACCCACGAACCAGGAAGTTGCCAGTTCGATTCCCAGTCAGGGCACATACAGGGGTTGGGAGCTCTATCCCCAGTGGGGGGCATGCAGGAGGCAGCCAATGGACGTTTCTCCCTCATGAATGTTTCTATCTTTCTATCCCTCTCCCTTTCTCTCCCTCTAAAATCAATAACATAATTTTTTTATTATTTTTAAAAATACATTTCTGTTGATTTCAGAGAGGAAGGGAGAGGAAGATAGAAACATCAATGGGAGGGAATCATGGCTCCGCTGCCTCCTGCACGCCCCCTACTGGGGATGGAGCCCAAAACCCAGGCATGTGCCCTTGACAGGAATCAAACCAGAGACCCTTCAGTCTGAAGGTCGATGCTCTATCCACTGAGCCAAACCAGCTGGGGCACAACATTTTTTTTTTAAGAAAAGAAAGAGAAGGTGAGATAAATGTTAATAATATTTTATTTAACCAAATGTGCCCAAATATGACCATTTCCACATATTTGGCATTCTTATTTTTCTGTCTTTAAAAGGCAGTGTTTTTTTTACTTATACCACATCTTAGTTGTTCGCCACATTGCAAAAGTTCAGTAGCCATGAGCCATTAAATCTGGCTGTGACAGCATAAAATTATAGGACTGGATTTGAGGAAAACCATTCTGGGGCTCAGGGGCTGGCCCATTGCTGAGTTTTAAGACCAGGAAATGAACAAGTCCACGTTTGGGGGTCTAAATGAGGTTTGGGCAAGTCCTTTCTGGGTGTAAGACAGAGCATTAAGAGGGAACCCCAGAAGCCCCTAGCAGTGTTTCTCAAACTTCCTGATGCCGCGACCCTTTAATACAGTTCCTCATGTTGTGGTGACCCCCAATTTCATTGTTACAAATTGAACATAATTAAAGCATAGTGATTAATCACAAAAACAATATGTAATTATATACGTGTTTTCCGATGGTCTTAGGCGACCCCTGTGAAAGGGTCGTTTGACCCTCCCAAAGGGGTCTCAACCCACAGGTTGAGAACCACTGTTCTAAGACTTTGACCTGAGCAGATCAACTCTTGATTTTCTCCAGAAAAAAAAAAACCAAAACTGGATTCACCCCCAGTTTTCCCAAGTTGGCAAACGGCCCTCCATTAATCACCCAATCACTTTGCCAGAATGCTACCCGTCCCTCACCCCAAACCAAGGCGAGAGTAGACCCACTGCCCATCACCTCCCTCCGTCGCCATTGCCTCACCCTGGGCAGGTCACCACTGCCATCATCTCTTGCCCGGAACCTTGTAATGACATCCATTGCTGCTTTCCCTACTGCTCTCTAGCACCCTGCAGTTCATCCTTCACAGGCACCCAGCGAGCTTTTTCCAATATCGACCAGCCGTGTCCTTCCCCGCATCCTTCACAGGCACCCAGCGTGCTTTTTTTTTTTTAATATATTTTATTGATTTTTTACGGAGAGGAAGGGAGAGGAATAGAGAGCTAGAAACATCGATGAGAGAGAAACATCGATCAGCTGCCTCCTGCACACCCCCTACTGGGGATGTGCCCGCAACCCAGGTACATGCCCTTGGCCGGAATCGAACCTGGGACCCTTCACTGAGCCAAACCGGTTAGGGCCAGCGTGCTTTTTCCAATATCGACCAGCCGTGTCCTTCCCCGGCTTAAACGCCCCAGCCACACTGGTCTCCTCTTGGCCGCTCTGACCCTCCAGACACATTTCCACACCCCAACCCCAACCCCAGCTTTTCCTATGGCTGCCCCTCAGCCTTCTGGTCTCAGTGCAAGGGTCCCCTGAGTTGGGGAGGACTTCCCGACTTAGGGATTTAAGTAACCCCTCCCACTGAGCTCGGCCTGCGCCTCCAGGAGGTCCCAGAGCCAGTGCACCGGCTGGACGTCGAGGCACCATCCAACAGCCTCCGCCAGTGACATGCTCAAGGGGTGCACTCAGCGGGCACCAGAGCTGCGAACGTCAGGCGAGCTCAGTGGGGTGGGCCCCTGCACAGCTCACCCTTCACAGTGGATGGTGGCAGCCAGTCCGCGCAGCCAATGGGCCTGGGAGAATCAACTCCTCCCATTGAGGTCCCAGCTACAATCAGGGCTCAACTACACAACAGGAGGGTGGACGCAGCCCACATGGCAGGAGGGGCAGGCGGGCTGCACCTGAGTGCCCAGCGCAGGTGGTCAAGGACCCGACAAAACACCTACTACATTAGGCCACTCGACCAAGCCCAGGAGAAACAGCAGCTCTACCGAATACATAAAAACCAACGCAAGGAGGCCGCCAAAATGAGGAGACAAAGAAACGCTCTACAATCAGGGCTCAACTACACAACAGGAGGGTGGACACAGCCCACATGGCAGGAGGGGCAGGTGGGCTGCACCTGAGTGCCCAGCTCAGGTGGTCAAGGACCCTACAAAACACCTACTACATTAGGCCAAGTGCAGGAGAAACAGCAGCTCTCCCAAATACATAAAAACCAACGCAAGGAGGCCACCAAAATGAGGAGACAAAGAAACGCGTCCCAGATGAAAGAACAGGACAAAACTCCAGGAAAAGAACGCAACAAAATGGAGACAAGCAATCTGCCAGATGCAAGAGCTCAAAGACCCTGGTGATAAGGGTGCTCGGTGAACTTGAGGAAGAGTCGCCAAGGTTGCAGGTTCAATCCCTGGTCACGGCACATACAAGATCAACCAATGAGCCCTAACCGGTTTGGCTCAGTGGATAGAGCGTCGGCCTGCGGACTCAAGGGTCCCAGGTTCAATTCCGATCAAGGGCATGTACGTTGGCTGCGGGCACATCCCCAGTAGGGGGCGTGCAGGAGGCAGCTGATCGTTGTTTCTAACTCTCTATCCCTCTCCCTTCCTCTCTGTAAAAAATCAATAAAATATATTAAAAAAATAAAAAAGATCAACCAATAAGTGCACAAATAAATGGAACAACCAGTCATCTATGTTTCTCTCTCTCTCTCTCTCTCTCTCTCTCTGTCTCCTTCCTTCCCTCCCTTCCTATGTCACTCTCTAAAAATCAATCAATAAAAAAAATTTTTTTAAGACAAGGAAGCAGAAAACACCCAATCAGAACAGCAAAAGGAAAAAAGAATTTAAAAAAGAGAATAGGTTTGGCTCCTAATGCACAAATAAATGGAACAACCAGTCATCTATGTTTCTCTCTCCCTCTCTCTCTCTTCCACCCTCCCTTCCTATCTCACTCTCTAAAATCAATCAATAATTTTTTTAAAAAAAGAAAAGACAATGCCCTAACTCATTCTCTCTCTAAAAAAATCAATAAAATATATATTTTTTTAAAAAAAGAGAGAATAGTATAGGAGCCTCTGGGACAACTTCAAGCATATCAGCGTTCACATCATGGGGGCACCAGAAGGAGAAGAGAGAGAGCAAGAAATGGAAAACCTATGTGAAAAAATAACGATGGAAAACTTCCCTATCCTGGTGAAGGAAAGAGACGTACAAGTCAGGAAGCTCCCAGAGTCCCAAACAAGACGAACCCAAGGGGCACCACACCAAGACACATCATAATTAAAATGCAAAAGGTCAGCCTGGCCAGTGTGGCTCAGTGGCTGAGCTCGGCCCCTGAACCAGGAGGGCATTGCTGGTCAGGACACCTGCCCGGGTTGCAGGCTTGATCCCTGGTAGGAGGCAGCTGATCGATGTTCCTCTCTCATCGATGTTTCTATCGGCCCTCCATTAATCACCCAATCACTTTGCCAGAATGCCACCCGTCCCTCACCCCAAACCAAGGCGAGAGTAGACCCACAGCCCGTCACCTCCCTCCATCGCCATTACCTCACCCTCGGCAGGTCGCCACCGCCATCATCTCTTGCCCAGAACCTTGTAATGACATCCATTGCTGCTTTCCCTACTGCTCTCCTAGCAACCCTCAGTTCATCCTTCACAGGCACCCAGCGCTCTATCCACTGAGCCAAACCGGTTAGGGCAATAAAAATATTTTTAAAAGAGACATTTAAAAAGAAAAAAACAAAAAAGAAAAAAATTAAAAATACATTAAAAGTTAAAAAATAAAAAATAAATTCTAAAAAGACATTTATCTTAAAAATAAAAAAAAGCAGTTAGTCTCCTACAAGGGAGCTCCCATAAGACTGTCGCTGATTTCTCAACAGAAATTTTGCAGGCCACAAGGGATTGACAAGAAATAGTCAGTGATGAAAAGCAAGGACTGGGGTAACCCATTTGGACCCCCTTCCTGCTGCCTCTCGGTGCATGGGATGGAGCTCAACCAACTCAGCAACACTGGCCAAGGCATGACTGTGTCTTTTTTTCTGTTTGTTTTGTTTTGTTTTGTTTTGACATGACTATGTCTTAAAATAGAGGGGAAACTGCCTGGCCAGCATGGCTCAGTGCTTGAGTGTGGACCCAGGAACCAGGAGGTCACAGTTCAAATCCAGGTCAGGGCACATCCCCTTGTTGCGGGCTCCATCCGCCAGTAGGGGGCGTGCAGGAGGCAGCCGATGGATGATTCTCTTTCATCATTCATGTTTCTATTTCTCTCTCCCTCTCCCTTCCTCTCTGAAATCAATAAAAAATATATATATTTTTTTTCACCCTGGCCAGTTTGGCTCAGTGGATAGAGCGCTGGCCTGCGGACTGAGGGGACCAGGATTCTATTCCAGTCAACGGCACACGGCCAGGTTTCGGACTCGATCCCCAGTCGGGGGCGTGCAGGAGGCAGCCGATCAATGATTCTCTCTCATCATTGATGTTTCTATCTGTCTCTCTCCTCTCCCTTCCTCTCTGAAATCAATAAAAATATATATGTTGTCAAAGGCGTGAAACTTGGAACCAAAGGTAGAGGGGGCAGAGAGCAGACAATATGAAGAAGACACAGGGAACGATGGCCATCTGTAAGCCAAAGGACACTGGAAGCCACTGGAACCCAGGGGAGAGGCCTGCCCCTGCCATAGACTCTCTCTCAGCCTCAGAAGGAACCAACGTTGACACCTTGACCTTGGGCGTCTGGCCTTCAGAATGGAGACAGTACATTTCTGTGGTTTAATTCCCACAGTCTGTGGCACTGTACTTTGTTTCAGAAACCTCCGGAGACTAATACAAACCCTAATCCTTCGGTGCCCACCATTCGCTATCGTTCCATGGTTGTTTAGATTTTCTTCTTAAAATATATATATATATTGCTCTAACCGGTTTGGCTCAGTGGATAGAGCGTCGACCTGCGGACTGAAGGGTCCCAGGTTCGATTCCGGTCAAGGGCATGTACCTTGGTTGCGGGCACATCCCCAGTAGG